AGGGAGTGGTGGTAGAAAGCAGAAAGATATATATAAGGCGTGAGGACCAGAAACTAGAAGATTTTGGCTGGTTAAGCATTCAGGCTTTTGAGCAGTAATTCAGCTGAGACCCATTCCAGATGAGGACTCAGAGGCCTCCAGTCTGAGGAGACAAGACCAGCTGAGGATCCAGCGAGGTGAGAGATAGCTGTGGCTTGTTCTGTCTCTCTGACCTTCCAGTATTCACCCCAATAACTGGCCTCGGGTTTGATTTTATCAATAAGAACTTTTAAGATTCCTGCTACAGCTATGTTTTGGATTTTTTTTTGTTTTGTTTTGTTTTTGTTTTTGTTTTCCGAGACAGGGTTTCTCTGTGTAGCTTTGCGCCTTTCCTGGATCTTGCTCTGTAGCCCATGCTGGCCTCGAACTCACAGAGATCCTCCTGCCTCTGCCTCCCGAGTGTTGGGATTAAAGGCGTGCACTACCACCACCCGGCATGTTTTGGATTTTTAAGAGAATCTACATTTGACTTAATTGTTCATACACTGGGATAGAGGACACCATTTTGTTATTTGTTCTTTGTCTTTCCCTTTATTTTTCATCCCCTTGCTTCTCATTTCCCACTTCCTTGTGGATTTAGTCATTTCCTAGGGTGTTAATAAGCTTCCCATATCTATAATAAAATACTTCAGATAGTTAACATATAAAGAAAAAGGTTTATTTTGGCTCACAGCCTTGGAATTTCTAGCTCAAGATCAGCAGACTTTTAGGACCCTAGTGGGGATGTCCAATGGCAAAGACAGGGTACTTATGGTGCATCAGATCGCTCATGATGTGTCTAGGAAGGAAAAGAGAATGATAAGGGGCCCAGGAATTCACCATCTCTTTCAAGGACATGCCCACAGTGACTTAAAGACCGTCCACCAGGCCTCACTTCTGAACGGTTCTACCACCTTCTACCAGCACTGCTCACGTGGGACCTTTGAAGGTGGGTAGAAAAATGGTCCTCTAAATCCTACCCATACAATTTCATTTAGTTGTTCTGTAAACTAAGGCTGTGTGCCAGATTCAATAAAACAAAGCCATCCTTCCCACCATCTGACAGTGATTCTGAGACCTCGGACATTCTCCTACGGATATGGATAGAGTACACCTAAATATAGTTCCTCCACGGGTCTTGTTTACTTGTGCCCTATGCTGGGTACCACATAAACTTGGAGCTGTGTAAACTAGGAAAGGAAGGCAGCTTTGGTGAGTGCAGCTGCCTGCCAGGCAGCCAGTGCTCTGTAAGTAACCTCTGACAAACTCAGTTACTCACAAAGCTGGACTGGTTTGAGTCATTCTTTAGTCTGTTGGTGCTGTACCAATTTGGAGGTAGGCATTTCTTTAACAACTCCCTGGAAATTCACACAGGATGCCAACCCAAACCGTGGCATGTAGCGGTTCACTTTGGTTTAACTGCTTTCACCACTTGGGCTCAGGCACTACCATTTTCACTGTTATTCGGTGTAACCCTTAAAACAACTCGAACGTCTACCTCAGATGGGCCTGTTAAGTGAACTCTATTCTGGAGTCATATTCATGTGGTGATTGCAATGATTAACTTGCTACTTGTCCACTGCATCAGCTCTACATTTCAAAGCACGTATCATTTATGTTTTATTTTGTCATCCAATGCATAGTCACTGGTGTCAGTCCTACAACTAAATATATCCTGAGGCAGTCCCCAGAGAAAGTCCTCTTGCTTTTCTGGTTATTTTGTGGCTGGTGAAAGTTTAGATTTTAGTGAATTCTTCAAGAAGGACTTGTAGGGGCAGAATTCCCTGAGTGGTTGAATATTTACAACTGCTTTTGACTTTGTTCTTGATGAATGGCTTAGTTGCACACAATATTCTTGGCTCACAGTTTCTTCCCTGGAGTCTCTAAGATGTTTCTCCACTGTTTCTAGTAAAAGATTATTGTTAAAATATTTGGAGCCAATCTTCTGTTTTTTTCCTTTGTAAATAAATTAGACATATTTTCCTTTACTATCTGTCTTAGTTAGGGTTTGTATTGCTGTGAAGAGACATCATGACTGCAGCAACTCTTATAAAGGAAAGCCTTTCATTGGGGCTGTCTTACAGTTTAGAAGTTTAGTCCATTGTCTACATAGCAGAAAGCATGGTTGTATGTGGGAAGTCATGGTGCTAGGGAAGGAGCTGAGAGTCCTACATCTGTATCTGCAGGCAGCAGGCATAGAGAGACACTGGGCCTGGTTTGAGCATTTGAAACCTCAAAGCCCATTCCCCCAGTGACATACTTCCTCCAACAAGGCCACACCTATTCCAACAAGGACACACTCCCTAATAGTACCACTCACTAATGGCCAAGCATTCAAATACATGAGCATATGGGGGCCATTCCTATTCAAACCATCACACTATCTGAATAGCTTCCCGCCCCCCCATCTTTAGAAACTCCAGCCATTTCTAGGCTCTGTTTTAATGCTGAGTGTTCAAGGATGATTTTCTAATTAATTTGCACTGTATTTCTTACTCATATTCTGTTATGTCTATAAATTGTTCCTGAATTATAATCATAAATATTGTTATGTTCCACTACTCTTCTTTTGTATTGAAGATTCTAAATATATTCACATATACATACAACATATACCCCACATACAGACTACAACTTAATCCCATGACCATCATTATAATAAAAAAAGAAATAATATCCACATGGATGGCAAGACTATATCATGAAGATGTGGCTGAAAAGCAAGTAAAAATTGCTTCCAAATATTTTTAGTTAATTAAAGAAAGCACTGATTTCTACCTTTGTTCTTGGGCCAGCATAGCAGTTCAGGACAATGGCTGATTGATACTGTCTGTATTGGTTGCTCTCCTGTTGCTGTGATAAAACACCATGACCAAGGCAACTTAAAGAAGAAATAGTTTATTGGGGCTTATGGTCCCAGAGGCTTAGGTCCACGAAGGCAGAGCAGAGGCCATGGGGGCAGGCAGTGAGGCTGGAGCGGAAGCTGAAGGCTCACATCCTGCAAGCACCAAACAGAGAGAACTAGGAATGGGTTCCAAACCCAAATCCCACCCTCAGTGACTTACGGACACACTCCCACCATCAAAGCAACCCTTCCTCACCCTCAGTGATGTACAGACATACATATTCCCACCATCAAGGCAACCCTTCCTAAACCTACCTAAGCAGTACCACCAACGGGTACCAAGTATTCAAATGCCAAAGACTCTCAGGGACATCCTCATTAAAATCATCCAACTCCCTGAAGTCCCCTCACCTTGGTGCGGCAAAGAGACTTGGATAACCTGAAGCTCTGCAGTTCTCATCAGTGGGGTCCACCCTAGATCACCTTAGAATTCTGGAGACACCCACAGTCACCAGAGGCTCCAAGTCACTCCAAGCTCAGGAGTACCTACCTGCACATGACCCTTGACCTGCCCAAGCCATATGGGTGCTACCAACAGCCAGGCAGTCAGTGGCCCAGGACACTAGACATTTTGGGCCAGGCAGCCAGTATGTTTATTTGTTGGGGGGGGGGGGGGGGTTGAGTAAATGCATGCTATGGTGTATGTGCAGAGGTCAGAGACTGAACTTACATCGTTAGCCGTAATAGCAATTGCTCCTACCCACAGAGTCATCTCGCCAGTCCAGAACACTTGGATTTAATGAAGTTACTGATAAATAGTTCACATACACGTTTGTTCATTTGAAGCAAAGGATTAAATGGATTTTTACACTCACGGATAACCCTAACCATTGCCATAGTGAGTTCCAAACGTTTCAGTCACCTTCCTGCCTCCACTGTCAACCCAATCCACTACCATGCCTGTCTGCTGACCCCAAAGTATTAAGCATTCCAACCCATGAACATGAAATACATTTTTATCATTTCTTTGAAAAAATATTTTAGTTTTCAATGTACAAACCTTATACTTATTTTGTTAACTTTATTCTTAAGTATTTTTATGGCATTAGAACACAGCCTGCTCCATTAGTATTACTTCTGGACTGTCATTGCCAGCCCAGAGAAGCAGACTTGACATTTTTCCTGTGTTGATTTTATGTCACATTTGCTCAACACATTTACTAGTTCTACCAGTGTCATTGGGTTCCATCGTGTGTCCTACCTATAAGGGCATGTCATCTGAAAAGTTTCATTTCTTCCCTCTAATACAGAGAAGCATGCAATTCCTTTTTGTTGCCTAATTGCCCTCCCCAACCCCAGGTCCTCCTTGTTCTATTGGGCAGCTCGGTAGGAGTAGATACCCTTGCCTTACTCTAATTGTGAGACCCGGCCTTCCAGCTCCCCCCGGGGGTGCCCCTCACTAGTGCTATCCCCACCCCTGACTCCCAGGTATCACCAGCACAGCAGCTTGGACTCTATAAGGCTGAAACCTAGCAGCCTGGCTCCCAGTCCCACATGGCCACTACTTCCCAAGTGAGGCCTTAGGAAACCCATAGTAAAGGGCGTGGTCCCGCTTATGCCTACTTGGATAAAGATCCAAAACTCCCACGAACTACACATGAAATGAGCTGAAGCTGGGAGAAGAACTGATGGATGTGTGAGGAAATCAAGTCTAAATAAGGTCTGTCCTGGAGTGCAAGGCTTAGGTGAACAAGATGAACATAGTGGGGACAAATCACCAGCCACACATTCAGGTGACAAGTTGAAGAGCAAGAAGAAGATTGATGGTGTCTGGGAGAAGATATGAGGGTGTCAGAGGACCACTAACTCAACAAGAGCCTGGGGAGAAAAGCCATGAAAACTGCCTACACAGAAGGGGATACTTGGATCAATGTGAAAATGCCCCCTCCTGCCAGGGCAGTGTGCTGGACAGACCTAGAACAGTTCCCAATGCAGGTCAGGTAGTGCCACAGCAGTGTGGCTAGTTCATGTGTTAAATGGTGTGATCCTTGCAGCACAGCTCTGTCCAGATTCACTCACCACTGGAATGGAAAGGGGAGTCATCCGGCAGCAGCTTGGAGCTGGGATCAGACTTTGCATCTGGCCTGGACCTGCACATTCTCAGAGAGGAGTAATGGGCTTGTGCTTCCAGCAGAATCCCAGGGTGATGGGAACCATGTCCTGGGGGAACAGGCTGGTGGTGGTAGTGGAATACCCCAGAAAACTTAGTTACAAGGGAAGTGAGACTTCTTTGGGACATTAAATCCCCACACTTGGGGGTGCACACTAGCCTACTGGAGGCCAAGGAGAGTGACTAGAAAGCTGAGCCAGTTCAGGAACAGGTGCCAGAGTCCCAGGTTCACTTAGAGGTTTTAAAATTGTGAAGCAAAATGTTCTAACAAAGCTGTGTAGAAGTACTTATACAATTTAGAGAGTGACAGTATCTAAGGCCCTGGAGCCACACCTGGAATCACCAAGGCCTGCTTCATGAGCTTCTCTGTCTTCATGTGAAAGTAAACACCATTTGAATGGCACATTTTTTTTTTTTCAAGACAGGGTTTCTCTGTGTAGCTTTGTGCCTTTCGTAGAACTCACTCTGTAGCCCAGGCTAGCCGTGAACTCACAAGAGATCCATCTGGCTCTGCCTCCTGAGTACTGGGATTAAAGGTGTGCGCCGCCGCCGCCGCCGCCGCCGCCGCCGCCGCCGCCGCCACCACCACCACCACCACCACCACCACCCAGCTGAATGGCACATTTTTAAGAGAGCCAAGGAATACCTGAGTGAATGTGTGAAGACCATGTAAGTCCTACATGACTGCATTTTTTGATGTGGGCATGGCCATGCCTTAGACCCATGGGAGTAGAAAAATCTTCCTCCAGGTAAGGTTCAAAGGAATAGTAAAACCACTCAGACAGAGTAGCTAAGTGTCACTTTACTTTGTTCTATGTGTGGAATTATACTCTGTGGTGACTTCAACCGTGATTTTGAGACCCATCCACAGACGTGTGATGGTACGTGTGTAGCTTGGTTCAGCCCTGTTGTAGCAGGTCTTCCCTGCCCCACACTGTGGCTTGTTCCTACATCACAGGCAGGCTCTGTGGTATTCTGGTGAGGTGGACCATGGTCACATAGCATATCAAACTCAGCCCCACAATGTCAAGGTGTTTTGTGAAGCAGCTGTAAGAGTTTAAATCTCATCCTGGTCCACCTCCCCTTGAGCACTTGGGATTGCTTGACCTCTTAGTTTTTACAAAAATAGCTCATATAGAATGTTCAAATCCCTTCAGTTGGTTACTATTAATAAGGTTAAAGATCTTATGTGCTCTCAGTTGCTTGCCCTTTTTGCTGGGCATCTTATCATATTCTGAATATTTGGACTGTGTAGCAAGCATTATAGGTCTCTCCTTTTTAATCTTATGGCTGCCTCTTTTCTCTCTGTGATATCTTTGTGTGCTTGTTAATGTGCAGGTGTGTGTGTGTGTGTGTGTGTGTGTGTGTGTGTGTGTGTGTGTGTGTGCAGATGCTTATGGAAGGAGGCCAGAAGTCAACTTAAAGTCTTATTCCTCTGGAGCCTTCCCTCTTGATTTTATTTTATTCAATTTTATGTGTGTGGGTATTTTGTCTACATGTATGCCTGTGTCCACTTGCATGTCTAGTGGCCATGGAGGCCAGAAGAGGGCGTTGGATTCCCTAGAACTGGAGTTACAGATGGTTGTGAGCTTCTGGGGAGCCAAGTAAACCCTGAGTGAATGTGTAAAGGGAAGATGTCCTAAATGACTGTATTGTTTGACATGAGCATGACCATGTCAAAGACATTAAACCTGTGGGAGCAGAAAAGCCTTCCTCTGGGTGAGGTTCAGAGGGATAACAAAGCCTTCTTCTGGTGTGAGCGCAAATGTTGGTAGTATGTGCAAAAATAATCAACCAGGAGCTTCCTTCTCCTGATTGACTGCAACCTGAGACTGCTCACCTAGAGACCTCCTCCCGATACTACCTAAGCCCTCCTCCCTATACTGTACATAATAACAGGGCTGAGGTTTGGGATGGAATGTTGTGTAGTTAGTGATGAGGTGAAGGGTGTTGTGTAGTTAGTAATGAGGTAGGGTTATTGTATAGTTAGTGATGAGGTGGGGGTGTTGTGTAGTAAGTGATGAGGTGGGGGTGTTGTATAGTTAGTAATAAGGTGGGAGTGTTGTTATGTAGTGATGAGGTATTGTTGTGTGGTTAGTGATGAGGTGGGGGTGTTGTTGTGTGGTTAGTGATGAGGTGGGGGTGTTGTGTGGCTAGTGATGAGGTGGGGCTGGTGTTGTGTGGTTAGTGATGAGGTGGGGGTGGTGTTGTGTGGTTAGTAATGAGGTGGGGGTGGTGTTGTGTGGTTAGTGATGAGGTGGGGGTGGTGTTGTGTGGTTAGTGATGAGGTGGGGGTGTTGTGTGGTTAGTGATGAGGTGGGGGTGGTGTTGTGTGGTTAGTAATGAGGTGAGGGATATTGTTCTGTAGTTAGTGCTGCTCTATGAGAGTGAGCACAACCCACCTGATCCTGGCTTTTCTGTATGTGTATCTGTTCTTTCTTTATTCCTTGTCACACCAATCAGGTTTCCAGGACCAAAATGCATAGGATGCAGCATGAGCTGACATGAGGGTGCTGGGAATCAAACCTGGGTCTTCAGGATGAGCGGTCAGTGCTCTTAACCACTGAGCAATCTCTCCAACCTTCTCTATCCCTCTTTTTTTAAAAAATAGTCTCTCACTGGCACATGGGACTTAATTTTGGCATAGTTACTTTTCTATTGTTGTAAAGAGACACCATTACCAAGGCAACTCATAGAAGTTTATTGGGGCTTACAGTTTCAGAGGGGGAGTCCATGACCCTCCCTCATGGTGGAGAGCATGACAGCAGGTAGGCAGGCATGGCGCTGGAGCAGTAGCTGAGGGCTTGCATCTATCTGATCCATAAGCAGGAGGGAAAGGGAGAGAGAGAGAGAGAGAGAGAGAGAGAGAGAGAGAGAGAGAGAGAGAGAGAGAGAATGGGCCTGGCATGGGCTTTTGAAACCACCTCCCAAACAGTCCACCAACTAGTAGCCAAACATTCAAATGTATGAGCCTATCAGGGCT